TTAATGCTTTAAAAGAATTGGCCAATCTTTTAATGATTTGATGATTCATGCATGACTGACCAAAGGAATGTTATGAATTAGATTCCTAGGCAATAAAAATCGCATGATAGACTATGATATCGAAAGATGATTAGCTCATGTGTGGGAATCAATGAAGCTTAGTGAGTCAAATCCCCTTCTACGATTAGAGGTTTCCAAAGAAATTAATGCTTATTTTTCTTTTTGACAACCGCTTAGAAATTTGATGGTAGAATTGGATTAATAAAGGATTAATATGACTTGAGAAAGCTTATTAATTAATTTAGGAAAATCCACCATCACATGCAATTAACTTTAATATACCTTAGGGTAATTTCGGTCTTGAGTTGGATTAAATAGATAATTATATAACATTAATTTAATGAAATCTAAACCCTAACTGCATTCATCCATCAATTCAGTTTTTATTAAGTTCTTGGATTTGCATTAATTCTTTTTGCTTTTTTTCATTCAATTGATTCACGAGTTCAACTTAGGTTAGTTTAAAATTGGTTTGGTACTGTGATCTAGTCTCTGTGGAATCGATGCTTTTCTCATCATTATACGCACATTTGACTAAGGTACACTTGCCTGAATTAACTGTGCATAAATCACACAACAAGTTTTTGGCACCGTTATCGGGGACTAGTTTATTGCATATCAAAACTACCTGAATGAGCCTTAGATTGAACATCTATTTGTTTTATTTTCGGATTTAAAATTTTTATTTCAATTTTTGTTAGGTTCGGATTTATAAAATTTTTTAGGATATTTTTAATTTTTTTTCTCTTTCTTTTTCTTTCCTTCAAAGGTTCCTAGTGCATGACACGCACTAGTGGTGGAGAATTAATACCCCTTGATCAAGAAATCGAAAGGACTTTGAAAAAGCAAACGAGGGAGAGAAAGAACAAGATGCCTCAAGACCAAAATAATCCAAGGACATTGATCTCCTACGCTATACCTACTCTGGATGGTACTACATCAAACATTAGGAGGCCAAATGTGCAAGCAAACAATTTTGAGATCAAACCTGCAATTATTCAGATGATCCAGATGAGTGTGCAATTTTCTGGCCCCAATGATGACCCTAACTCTCATATTGCTAATTTTCTTGAAATGTATGATACTTTTATGTATAATGGAATTAGTGATGATGCCATTAGACTTAGGTTATTTCCTTTCTCCTTAAGGGACAAAGCAAAAGATTGGCTTAACTCTCTTCCTGCAGTTTCGGTTACTACATGGGATGACTTGGCACAAAAGTTTTTATCTAAGTATTTTCCACCTGTTAAAATGGCTAAATTAAGGAATGACATAACAATTTTTTCTCAATTTGATAATGAAACCTTATATGAGTCGTGGGAGAGATTTAAGGAACTATTTAGGAAGTGTCCTCACCATGGTTTACTTGTTTGGATGCAAGTGCAAACTTTTTATAGTGGCATTAATCAATCTAATCGTTCAATGTTAGATGTAGTTGCAGGTGGTACCCTCATGAGAAAAACTCCCAAAGAAGCATATAGACTTTTGGAGGAGATGACGACCAATAGCTATCAATGGGGCAATCAGAGAACAAATAGAAAGGGAGTTGGAATTTATAATGATTTCTATCACTGCTTTATCGGCTCAACTTGCTGCATTAAATAAGAAATTAGAAAATTTTGGGGTTTCAGCTATGAGTGTTTCTTCTGTTCTCTTCCCTTCTTGTGAGCTTTATGGTCAAGGGGGACATGCTAGTGTAGACTGTCAAGTAGGAAATCCATTTTCTTCTTCTTCTGAACAAGATAATTTTGTTTCTTAAAGTGGCAACAGGTCCAATTTCAATCCCTACTCCAACACTTACAATCCAGGATGGAGAAGCCATCCAAATTTTTCTTTGAGTAATAACCAACAAAGAGCACCTCCCGGCTTTCAACAGAAATAACAACAAAATCCACAAGAGAAGAAACCAAATTTAGAGGATATGATGGCAAAATTTATCAACAGTACGGAGGCAAGAATTCAAGGGATAGAAACTCAATTTGGACAACTTGTTCAAGCAATTTCGGTAAGGCCACAAGGAGGATTACCCAGCAATACCGAGAAGAATCCCAGGGAACAAGTAAAGGCCATCACTCTACAAAGTGGAAAAGAACTTAGAAAAGAAGAAAAAGATGATGAGCAGGTAAAAGAGGAAGAAAGCCAAAACCTTGAAGCCAAAGAAGGAGACTACGAGTCATCAATGGAGAAAAAGGGAAGTTCTTTTACTCTTAATTTAAAATCCTACAAACCCCCTCTTCCTTTTCCTAAAAGATTTCTTAAGGCTAACTTGGATAAGCAATTTGCTAAATTTCTAAAGGTGTTTCAAAAGTTGCATATTAACATTCGTCTTCTTGATGCTATTTCTCAGATGCCAAATTATGCCAAATTTTTGAAGGAAATAATTTCAAATAAAAGAAAGTTGGAGGAGTTTGAGATGGTAAAACTTAATGAGGAATGCTCAGCAATCCTACAAAATATATTACCTCCAAAACTCAAGGATCTAGGGAGCTTCTCTATTCCGTGCACCATTGGTGAAATTAATTTTGATAAGGCTTTATGTGATCTTGGTGCAAGCATTAATTTTATGCCTTTTTCTGTCTTCGAGAAGCTTGGGTTGAAGGAGCCAACACCTACCACTGTTTCTCTACATTTGGCTGACAGAAGTATCAAATATCCAAGGGGAGTAGTGGAAGATGTTTTGGCAAAAGTAGATAAATTTAATTTTCCTGTTGACTTCACCGTTTTGGATATGGAAGAAGATTATGATATGCCCCTAATTTTAGAGAGACCTATTCTTGTCATAGGAAGAGCTTTAATTGATGTCCAACAAGGAAAACTTAGCCTTAGGATTAATGATGAAGAAGTTGTTTTTAATGTGTTTAAGGATATGAAACATTCTAATGATGAAAAAGAAGTCTTAATGATAGATTGCATTGATGATTTGGTAGAAAGAAAATTTCATGCATTTAGGTTAGATGATCCTATAGAAAATTGCATTGCTAACTCTTCTAATGTGAATGAACAAATTTTAGATGAGAAGCATAAGGAGGCCAGGCCATAGGCTATTTGGGAGAAAAGCAAAGAGGATTCATAACAAAAAGAGAAAAAAAAATTCCTTTGGATATTTTTCCTCTTCTTCAAAAGCCAAGCCATCAATCCAGAAGCCTCATACTCTTGAAATTAAACCTCTTCCTTCGCATTTAAAATATGTTTATTTGGGGAATTCATCTACCTTACCTGTGATTATTTCTTCTTACTTGATAAGTCTTGAAGAAGAAAAGTTGATAAGGGTGCTTAGGGAACACAAAAGGGCAATTGGATGAAGCATTGGCGACATTCAAGGAATAAGTCCATCAGTTTGCATGCACAAAATCATGATGGAAGAAGGATTCAGCCTACGTTGCAGCCCCAAAGGGGGTTAAATCTTAATATGAAAGTGGTAGTAAAAGAAAGAGGTGATAATATGGCTTGATTTAGGTATTATCTTTCCTATCTCTGATTCTTCTTGGGTAAGTCCTGTGCAAGTTGTGCCAAAAAATGGTGGGACCACTGTAGTCAAAAATGAAAATAATGAATTAATCCCTACAAGGACAATAACAGGTTGGAGGGTATGTATCGACTATAGGAAATTGAATGATGCTCATGCCTATGTATGTTCTTGTGATCGATGCCAATGGACAGGTAATATATCAAGGAAAAATGAGATTCCCTTAAATAATATTCTTATTTATGATATTTTTTATGTTTGGGGCATTGATTTCATAGGTCCTTTTTCCAAAATCCTTCAATAATGAGTATATATTTGTTGTTGTTGATTATGTGAGTAAATGGGTATAAACGATTGCATGTCCCATTAATGATGCTAAGGTTGTAATCAAATTCTTGAAAAAAAATATTTTTACTAGATTTGGTACACCGAGGGCTATCATTAGTGATGGAGGTAAAAACTTTTGCAATAAACAGTTTGATAAGTTATTAATTAAATATGGTGTTACCCATAAGATTGCTATCCCCTATCATCTTCAAACTAGTGGACAAGTAGAAATTTCAAATAGGGAATTGAAAGGTATTTTGGAAAAGACTGTGAACTTATCTAGGAATGATTGGTCAATGAAATTGGATGATGCACTTTGGGCCTATAGGACAACTTTCAAAACACCCATTGGAATATCTCCTTATAGGTTGATGTTTGGTAAGGCTTGTCACCTCCCTATTGAATTAGAGCATAAAGCATATTGGGCAATGAAACTGCTTAACTTTGATTTGCATGTTGCAGGTGAAAAAAGAAAGATGCAATTGAATGAACTTGAAGAATGGCGGCACCAAGCTTATGAGAATTCTAGAATTTATAAATAAAGAACCAAAGCATGGCATGATGCACACATTAAAAAGAAAGAGTTTACAGTTGGAGACAAGGTTCTTCTTTATAATTCTAGATTGAAGCTTTTTCCTGACAAACTAAAGTCAAGATGGAGTGGTCCATACATAGTAACTAGAGTTTTTCCTCATGGTGCAATTGAAGTATCTAATGAAACTAAGGGGACTTTCAAAGTCAATGGGCAAAGATTAAAGCCTTACATTGATGGTGGACATAATCCTTTCTTCAAGTCCACCATTTACTTGAAGGATCCATGAAAATGGAAACAGAGTCAAGCTAACGACTATAACTTAGAACTATATTTTTCATTTATGCACTTTAGGAATTCTAGTTGTTTCATATTTCTTTATTTCCTTTTAAGTTTTGTTTTAATTTTTTCTTTCTCTTGTTATTGATGTTTCTTTCTTCTCTTTTGATTGATGAAAGGTAGGTTGCAATTTTGGAGTCTATGGACAAGAAATTTCAGTATGTATAGCTGAAACCAAGACCAACTTGAAAGGATTCTTTCCCTTAKTTTTGCTCTTTAATTTACTTAACATTGAGGACAATGTTAAATTTAAGTTTGGAGGGGAGGAGATTGCAATTTTTGTGAACCCAAGAGCATGGTATGATTACACAAAAAAAAAAGTTTTTTTTTTTTGAAATATGTTTTAGTTTAAGTTTGTGATTGCTGAATTTTTCTTGATGACTAAAAGCCTATGATAAATTCTTTATTGAAATCGAATATGACTTAGAAAATGAAGATAAATTATAATCCTGAGGATTGATTGATTCTCATGTTGACTCTATTGCATCATGAAAGTTGAAATTCTTGAGCACATTATGTCATGATCTTGTGAATTGTGTGCAACTTGGTGAATGATTATGTGAGCTATATGGAACAATATGATCATTATGTGATATTCTAGAACTTGTTTAATTAGCCTTTGAGGCAAAATCCTAGACAACATATTACTTTGGAGATGAT